GGTGGGTGGTGATGACTAGCTGCTTCCCTCTAGTCTTACACTAGGGACAGCTAGCGCAGATAGCCCTCGTGTAACTTTGCGCGAAATTCAAAACAAAAAGCAAAGCAATAGTTGATCTGGTTAAATATGTGCAAATGGATAAAACAGCTGTATGTCGAAAGAGGTGTTACAATAAAACAGCAACTAAATGAAAGTTCAAACCAAGCGACCAGTATGATTGTGGTACATTCATGCAGTGCAGAAACAACTCAGTTCTGGTTGGACTGGTCTAAATCATATCTTTCAACATCTCAATGAAATGAAGTATGAGTTAGAGTGGTAACACAGAGAATTAACACGTGTCAAACACATAAGAGGCTAAATCTCTGTATCACAGACAAGCCTCCTAAGAACTGATTATTCCAGGAATAGTAGGTAGGTACACTTGTTGACTCTAATGATGAGAGTACTGTAACATATTAGCTTATCTCAGATGAGGAAGAGGAAGAATATGGCAATACATATCTAGCTATCCATTACAAATCAGATGAGGAAACATCTGTCTATTCTCAGGATTATCTGAGCTATTGCTGATGACCACCTAATTATTATGGCTGGGTTTAACTGCTTGACCAACAGTTACAATTGGAAAGTGGTGTTTCATTATAAGATGCATGTGCAGTGTACTATGTGACAGCCACTTGATAATATTAGGCTATGTGATTGAAAAAACCAACAATAGAAAGTCATTGCAACTCTTACTTTACAAGATATTGTATGATATTGAGGAGCAGGATGATGGTTGGCTAACTACATAAACAGCTAGGACATTTGAAGTTGTTAGTTGAAAATCCTAGGGAAATTACAGTTGTATTCAACTGCTATTGATGATAAGGAAGTCTGAAAAATATGCTGAAAAGACTTTGCAATCCTTTCTTTTCAAGCACGCAGTTTAAATTTTGTGGTGAAGGTTGATGGATGTTTGCCTGTAGAAACACTATATATATATATGAGTGAATTCACAATCTTGCACATAAGTCGATACAAATTTGAGTTGTTGGTCTGGTTAGTGTATACCAGTCTTCTTGAAATGTAGTGAGAAGGTTGAACTTTAATGCAGTACAAAAAATTAGCATAGACTTTTTAAACCAGGTAAATATGTAGCATTCTGGTAATGGGTTCTTCACGACTCCTAAATGACAGTGCTGATGAGATAATCATGTTTCATCTATAGCACACTTAAAAAATTATAGAATAAGAAACTGGTACTAATTGGTTGCTATAAGAACCAATGATCCTTTGAGCAGTGACTAATCTTCTACAGATTATGCATTGGTTGTATATGAAGCAAAAATAGAAGAATGTTTGGAGTTTACACATGTTACTCTAGTAAATATTCAGTTAGTTTGTGTATGCATTAGATAAACGAATAGGATATATGCAATAATACAATTTGTTCAGATAAACAAATAATTTTGGCTTCAAGTATTGAAGTGTAAGAAACTTGGTGGGAACTGCAGTAGTTACTCTGTTGATACAAAAATATAATACAGTCTTAAAGAATGGAAAGGATATTTCAAATTTGGACTAAAATTGAAATATTGGCGGACATATGATTGTTACTGAAAGACAGACAGAAATTTACCAAGGAATCTACATCCCATGATTTGAAAATCAATATTAATCAATTGTTCTCACTGATGTTTTGAAATAATATCCTTCAGTTTTGATAATTAAGATATGACTAGATAATGTGACCTGGTCTTGTGAGGTGAAATTATGATTTTACGGCTTGTTTGTTCAAAATGAAAGAAAACATAAAGTCTGTTAATTTTAGTAGTTTTAATTGAGAAATATTAAGTCGTCAAGATATAATGTCGCGTTTTGTAACACTTTCATTAACCACACCCAGAAAAACGTACATCACGTATAATACTTAAACTAACCGCCTAAACGTCACATTAGTGTAGCCTATACAATGTGAAAAGTTTAGTATACTCTTAATCCCTTATAGTGATGGCACACTGTTTGAATACAAGAAGGGAAACAACGCCTCTGTAACCACAAAGAATATCAACGAAGTTTATGGAAATCTTTTGAACGTTCGTAAGTGTCAACGATGGTTCAGCAAATTTCGTGATGTCAGAGGCCGAAATGTTGGAATTGATATTGATGCTATGAAGAGGCTTGTTGAGTCTAACCCAAGGCAATACACTCGTAAAATGGCCCTGAAATTACATGTCTCTCATGAAATAATAGGTAAACATCTAAGGAATATGGGTAAACGTTTTAAAGAATGTGTTTGGGTGCCTCACAAACTCTCCGATGATCATCGTTTCCAACGTGTGAATGTTGATTCGTAGTGCGTGTAAACCATTTTTGGACAGAATTGTCACTGGTAATGAAAAATGGATTTCCTTTGCGAATATTAAACGCCAAAAACAATGGCTCAGTCCTAGCCAAAAACCACTTCTGACCCCAAAACCTACGGACTCCGTCCTCCAGAAAAGTAGATG